ACTTTGCACTGGTGCTAGGCTTGAGGTAGGGGCTCCAGAAAACCCATTCCTTCCACTCCCGGCCCCCATGTGCCCCTTTAAGGAGCAATGGCTGCTGTTTCTCCCTTGAAGGAAGGACAGGGAGAGGCCGGGGACAGTGTCAGAGAGGCTTCCACCCACCCTGAATGTGTCTTAAAGTGCAGCAGCCACCTCTGATGTCCCCAGGCAGCTGGAAAGGAACACTCTGGGTCTCCCAAAGTGGGCAGGTAGCTGTTTCCAAGGCCAACTGTGTGTCCTGTCCCTGGCCAGACTCCGAGCATCACGTGACAGGGCATGGTTTCAACTCAACTCCCATAAAATACTCACCCCCCACAAAAGGACCTAAATTTTACCCTCACGTTCTTAGAAATCATCTACTTTGATCCTTAGAGCCCAGCTCACCTCTCCCAGGATGGGGCAGGTGTCCTGGGTATCGAACTTCCTAGCAGGCACCAGAGCCAGCATACAGCCCACAGTCCCAAGGCCCTGGGGCTCGCTGTGCTGTCACGTGACCAAGGTGCCTGACTGTCGCCTCTGCGGTGTCTGCCGTGTCCACAGCCCTTCTTTGTGGTGTCCCCCATGGTGAATTAGTGAAAGGTAGGTTTGAGCCAAACCAGAGACAGGTGTAGGATGAGGGTACATCTGCTGTCAGGGACTGCTGGCTCCGACCTGCTTCCCGGAATTTGGAGGACAGTTCCTTCCTGGGCCTCTGACTCTGAGAGCCCAAGCAACTTGCCTAAGGCCACACAGCACTGATGGTACAGTGGGAGACCCCATGCAAGATCTGGGTGGCAGTGTTTAGGTCCTGCGTGGGAAAGCCTCCTACCTCTGCCTCTGCCGTAGAGCCGCCCCAGGGCCCTCAGCTCTGTTTGCTGATAGCCAGAGCAATTTCCTTCCTAGGTAGGAATTTGCCCTCCTCCGTTCCTCCCTTTCTTTTTTCCCCTTTCTTCTTTCACTTTTGCAGTACCAGGGATCAAACTCAGGACCTTGCGTTGGTGAGGCGGGTGCAGGTGCCGCTGAGCTAATCCCCAGCCCCTTCCTTTCTTCTGTTCTTCTTCCTCCTCCTTTCTGTTTAGAGATGGGGGTCTCACTGTGCTGCTGAGGCTGTGCCTCAAATTCCTGGGCTTGAGTGATCCTCCTGCCTCGGCCTCCCGAATAGAGACTTGTATGTTCTCCTTGGAATATAAGAAAGGCCCTGCCCTGGAGCTTGCTGTTATCCCCCACACCCCACCCTGCCCCGGGTTCTGTGGATTGAACTCGGGGCCTTTACAGTGAGTTATATCCCCAGCCCTATGGAGACAGAGTCTCACCGAGTTGCCCGGGTTGGGCTTGAACTTGCCCTTTTCCTGCCTCAGCCTCCCAGGTGTGCACTGCCACGCCTGGCTCCATGGGGGTTTGCTTTGTGCAAATTGTGGTCCTGCCTCATAGTTTAGTAGAGGCAGAGAAGCACCTCAGGACCGATGGCCCCGAGCCAGGTTACTAGCTGGCGATGTCCTGGGCCTCAGTTTCCCTGTCCACATATGAGGGGGTAGAGTCAGATGGACCTGTTCAGAGAACCTGGTCTGGCAGGAGGTGAAGTCTGGGACTGGGTCCCGACCTGACTCCATCCGCCTTGCTGCTTGCTGTGGGGCCTCAGTCTAGTTCCTTCCCCTCTCTGGGCTTCTCTCTTCTTACAAGACAGCAAAGTTATACTTGCTTGGTGGAGGTTCCAGGGGGAAACTACTTTGCAAAGCTCAAATAGTGGGGGATCCTGTCCTCAGCCACACAGTGACTCTCAGACAGTGGTCTCAGAGTGGGACCCTGGGACCTCGGAGAAAGCCTGCAGGAAGGACTGGGCCAGGAAGTGGGCTCTTTGTAGGAAGTGGGCTCTTTGTGGGAAATGGCCGGGCCCAGGGATTGTCAGAGGCTCGCCAGGCTCCGCTGGTATTCCCTGGACCTCGTCGCCGGAGGAAGGGCTGCCAGGGTGCCACCTGGGTGGGAGCAACCCTGCCCGCCAGCCCGGGCCGCCTGCCAGCAGCAGCTGTGCCGTTGCGCCGGGGACAGCGGGGCCCAGGTCAGGCAGTGAGCTTGTCTGTGTGAACACGGCCACCACACAGGGACACAGGGCTGGGTCTGACGCGGGTGTCTCACTGGCACCTCTCCTCCCTCCCTTGCTGTGCTCTCCGTCTCCCTCCCCTCTCCCGCTCCCGCAGGGACACCCCCTCTCGGAGCTTCTGGGGATTGTCATGGCAACCCTCCAGCAGAATCATCAAAGCACTTCTCATGCTCACAGTTGTACCAGACGAAGTGCTAATTCTGAGCGAGGCAGCAGCAGTTGGTAGGACGCTGAAGTCATAGGCTCCGCACCCGGGGCCTGCTGGGGGCTGGGTGGGCTCCAGCGGGAGCTAAGGGTGTGGCTGGGAGGCAGGGCTGCCGGAAAAGGCCCTGTGCTCACCTGCCAGAGGCTTTGTGTTTGTTGTTGTCTCTTCCCTGCTTTTCATGCCACATGTGTATGCGTGCACACACACACACACACACACACACACACACTGTCTTGAATAATCACTGCCTTCTTTAGTGCCTGAGCCCTGCAGCCGGTGCTGGGGAGACTTCTGGGTGAGTGGGCTGGAGGATACCCTGACCAAAGCTTCTACAGTAAGAGGTCTGGCCCAGGACAGCAGAGCAGTAGCAGGAAGGGGCGCAGCCCTCTTCTCCCCCCGGGGGAGAACAGAGGGGGAGACCTGTGAGCCGCCCTGACCCGACGCTTCCTGCCTGGACCCTCGTCCTCCAGGGCTCTGGGAAGCACGCTCCTCCTGTGAATGGTCCCCTCACCTGCATCCTCTTGAGGATTGGAGGGGCCCAGCGAATCCGAGCTGGGCCTCCTCCTGCCACCCTCGGCTCAATGGGAAGCCCTGTTCAAGAGCTCTGAGTGCATGGATGTGGGACAGACACCACCCAGGTGGGCAACTAGATGAACTGCAGTTTTTGAGTCAGGCAGACTGGCTTGGACTGCTGGCTTCAGCCCTCACACTTGAGGTGGCCTGGTAAACCACCATCACCGAGTCTGGTCAGTAAGGTGGGATGACACTAGGACCCCTCCCAGGCCTCGAGAAGGATGCTTTGGGTGAGCTGGGGCTCCCAAAGCACATGGCACAGAGCCAGGCACTGGTAGGTGTTCAGCGTGACATTTCTGTGTCCCCCATAGAACTGGGAGTGCAGCCCACTGAGGGGACTAGTGTGTACCCCCTTTAAGGGACATCTCCCACCTGGGGGTGGCCAAGTAAGGTGACACATACTACAAAAGCAGGCACTGAGCCTCCGTCCCCCGAATGCTCTGCAAACTCAGCCAGACCCAGGGCACAACTGGAGCCAGCCAGGAACCAAAGCTCCAGCTCTCCCCCATTCCCGTGCCCGGCCTGCTGTGGAGCAGAAGCCGGCTGAAGAAGGATGGGCTGTGGGGGTTCTGCTGAAAGCACGATGGACACCCCCAGGCCCCCAGGGCCACTTCTGGACATTGGCGGCAGCAGCCCAGAGGAGTTGGAATTGGCCCCTGGAGACATGACTTTGCGCTCACTGTGGCCGGTTGGCTTCCTGTTTTAAACTGTGAGTCAGGCAGGGAGGCATAAGCCACCGAAGCCCCCAGATGGCCTCTGCAGCCGTTCACTGGAGCCCTTCCCTGCCATCTTGTCACCCAGGGTGGGGGCTGGGCAGGCTGGGCGTGAGGTCACGACCACAGCAGGGACTTACATCTCATGCGTCAGACACGCCAGGCACCATGCAAGGAGCCTCCTGCGCTTCACCACTGGCTTCAGGGGCACGGCTGGTGCTGTCCAGGTGTGAAGATGATGCAAGCTGAATGGTCCGTGGCTGGGCTCGGGATAGACTGTAGGTGTGTGTTGTAACCTGACTGTGGCCCTTGGCTGCCTCATGCAGGTAGCAAGGTACAGAAGGCCGCAGGACAGGGGACTCTTGGCACTGGGGAGCCCAGATCCCAGCCTGTGGTGGAGCCCAAGCCTCGTGGCCTTGTGCTGCTAGGCAAGGGCTCTACCACTGAGCTGCTCCCCAGCCCTCACAGCCATCTTTGAGGGGAGGCTGCAATCTCTCCCAGTACCCAGCTCCCTCCTCTCTTCCTAGAGGCCCCTGGCAGCAGGGCCCCAGGCCAAGGAGGATGATCTCATGGCTAATTTGGGAAGCTTGCTGAAACACAGATCTCTTTTTTCTATTTTCACTACCCTGGGCCAGGACTGGGGGGCCGCCCGCATGCAGGGGAGTGGAGAGGGGTGACTCAAGGTGCCTGTCTCCCTGGCCTGGAACTTTGGAGCCTGGCGGAGCTGTGTGTTGGAATAGACCTTGAGGGAGACATTGTAGCCCCCTTGCTGGCCTGCCAGGGGCCACGGGGCAGGGTGAGCCCCTCCACGTGCCAGCTGCATCCGCGGTGCCAGGAGAGGCGGTGGCCAACGCTCACCGTCCAGTAGGGGAGGCAAACAATACAGAAACCAACCAACCGCCGGGAAGACCATTTAGATAGTGACAAGTATGCTGTGCAGAAAAGGGGGACGAGTGGCTGAGTGGCCAGCAAAGCCTGTAGATGCCATGGGTGGGGAGCCTTTGAGCGGAGACCTCTGCAGGCAGAAGGGCAAGTGGCTCCCCCAGGCGGGGCTGGGCCGGAAGTTCCGGTGCAGCCAGCCAGGACCTCACCGGGTTCTCATTCAAATGGTCTCCCTCGTACACACCTCCCTCTCTGGGATCCTTGTCCTCCTGCCAGCAGAGGCCCGTCCCCGTCCTCTTTGTCGGAGGTGAGTCTTCACCCAGCCCTGCAGCGGGGACCACCATCTGCCCCCGGCTGACTCCATTACCCTGCCCCCCACAGCTCTCCTGTGTTCTCGTGGCTGTCGTCCACCTGGACGACATGGTGCTCCTAGGACAAGGCTGAGGTAGTATAAAAAGAACCCAGATCAGAATAGTTTAAAAAAAACATTTAGCTAAGTATTCTCTCATAGTTCCAAGGGGAGAGTTTCAAAATGGTAGACAGCTCGGCTGCGCATGGCCATGTGAATGCTGGTGCTTCTGTCTTTAACATGGAACTTCCAAGATCTCTTCATTATCCTTTTGGCCACAGCGATGAGGAAAGTGTGGGTGTCCTCGGCAAGAACTTCCTCTTGGGCACGTGAGGCAGAAGTCACAGATGCACTTCTGCCCTTGTTCCACAGAGGGGCTGAGGCACATGGTCCTCCCAGCTGCAGGGGAAGTTGGGAAATGTGAGCCAGGGGATGGACAGCTAATGGCCTCTGCAAAGTTCACCTCCTAGAACAGTAGGTTTTGTGGGGGTGGCCCCCTAATCTTGTGCCTCCCTGGCCCTCAGCTCTGCCTTTCCAGATATTCTACCTCATCATTTTTCAACAGCCATGAAACAAAGTGTTGAGAGTCCATCTTCTCTGGGTGCTGCTTTGGGCTTGAACCTTCAAGGGCTCTGCAGTCCAGCCTTCCAGTTCCGTTGATGGGAACGATTTCTCCACATACTTAGTGGGCTTCGGGTCTATCTGGTGCTAGTCAGTCCCATGTGCCAGCAACCTCGCCCAGAGTTCCCTTCTTGAGCTATTTAGTTTGTCTTCCTGTCTCTTTCTCCATGTTTTACAATGAAGGTTTCCCTAAGGTCACCTGAAATAATGGTCTTGGGTAGCAGTACCCTTAATACAATTCTTTGCCAAAGGGTACTTCTTTTCCCTTTTTTTTTTTTTTTTTTTTTT